AATGCATGAATTGTGGTGATTCCTCTCACGCAAAGGACGACTGTCCTGTGAAGGAAGATCCTAAGAAATTTAAATGTTCAAATTGTGGTGAAAACCACAAATCCAATTTTTGGGAATGTAAGACTCGCAAAGCGATCCTACAATCTCGTTCTAACCGTCAGGTAGGAAACGCTCCACGTTTCCGACCAGGTACAAATTCCTCTGCTGTTAACAACGGTCAGCGAGGAACAAATTCTACATTCGTACCCGTAGGTACAAATATCTCCCCTGCTTCAAATGTTTCATCTGTACCTACTCCCCTCGCTGCTAACAATGTTCAGCGAGTTAATGGAGCTACCTATGCTGCTATTGCAGCGGGTAGAAATCAAAATACTAACCAACGTTCTAACGGAAATTTTGACAATTTTGACTTAGGAAGCATTACTGCCCCCAAAATGGAATTTTTACAGAATTCATTAATTGACATGATTTCTGATATGCTTAAATCTAACTCCATGTTTGATGCTATTCAAACTGGAGTAAAATTTGCAAATAATATTGTAATGACTTTAAAATTCAGTAATGGATTTTAAAGCATTAAATATTGTAAATTGGAATGCTCGATCTCTTAAAGATAATGAAGACGAGCTATTTAACTTTTTAAGAGTTCATAACGTGCATATTGCCGTTATAACTGAAACGTTCCTTAAACCTGCCCATAAGATTAAGAAGGACGCAAACTACTTGATTTATAGAAATGATCGTCTTGATGGACCCTGTGGTGGCGTTGCCATCATTATTCATAGACGAATTAAACATAAAATTCTTTCTTCATTTGAAACCAAAGTTTTTGAAACTTTGGGAGTTTCTGTTGAAACAAAATTTGGACAACTTACGTTTATAGCTGCCTATTTGCCATTCCAATGCGTAGGCCAGCAAAAGAATTTTCTCAAGGGTGACCTCCAGAAACTTACCCGTCATAGGTCTAAATTCTTCATTATTGGTGATTTTAATGCAAAACACCGCTCATGGAATAATGCTCAAAGCAATTCCAATGGTAATATTCTGTTTGATGATTGTTCTGCAGGTTATTACACTATTCAATATCCAAACAGCCCAACATGCTTTTCTTCTATAAGAAATCCCTCCACTATTGATTTGGTCTTAACTGATTCATGTCAACTTTGTAGCCAATTGGTTACCCATGCTGACTTCGGTTCTGATCACCTTCCAGTAACTTTTGAAATATCCCAAGAAATAATTTGTAATCCCAACAGCTCTACTTTCAATTACCATAGAGCTGATTGGGAGCAGTATCGAACATTTATGGAATATAACTTCGATCCAAACATTCCTTTGCAAACCAAAGATGAAATTAATTATGCTCTTGAATCTCTGACTACTTCTATAGTTGAAGCAAGAGCTGCCTCAGTACCAAAATGCGAGGTTAAATTCGATTCAATTATAATAGACGATGATCTTCAGCTCTTGATCCGTCTTAAAAATGTCCGTAGGAGACAATATCAAAGAACACGCGATCCTGCCATGAAAGTTATCTGGCGGGATTTGCAAAAACAAATTAAAAAGCGATTCTCTGCCCTGAGGAACAAAACTTTTGAAAATAATATTTCTAAATTAGACCCGAGTTCCAAACCCTTTTGGAAACTCACAAAAATTTTGAAAAAACCTCAAAAGCCTATTCCAGCGCTTAAAGAAGGTGGTAAAATTTTGATCACAAATTTGGAAAAAGCTCAGAAACTTGCTAAACAATTCGAGAGTTCCCATAATTTCAGTTTGGGTCTTACTAGTCCTATTGAGAATCAGGTTGCTCGGGATTTTCTGAATATTTTCTCTCGGGAAAATATTTTTGATGATTCCTGGGGGACTGATTTGGACGAAGTAAGGTCTATAACTAAAAATTTTCAAAATATGAAAGCTCCAGGTGATGATGGAATTTTCTATATCCTCATCAAAAAACTCCCAGAGAGTACCTTGTCTTTCTTGGTAAAATTATTTAACAGATGTTTCCATTTGGCATACTTTCCTGATAAATGGAAAAATGCTAAAGTTGTTCCAATTTTGAAGCCGGATAAAAATCCAGCTGAAGCTTCTAGCTACCGCCCAATAAGTTTGCTTTCTTCAATAAGTAAACTTTTTGAAAAGATAATTTTGAATAGAATGATGCTTCACATCAATACGAACTCAATTTTTGCAGATGAGCAGTTTGGATTTCGCCATGGGCATTCAACTACTCATCAACTCTTAAGAGTTAACAATTTAATTCGTTCAAACAAATCTGAAGGCCACTCAACTGGAGTTGCTCTTCTAGACATAGAAAAAGCATTCGACAGTGTTTGGCATGAAGGTTTGATTGCTAAATTGAAAAAGTTTAATTTTCCACTTTATATTATGAAATTAGTTCAAAATTATTTAACTGACAGAACTCTTCAAGTAAATTATCAAAATTCCAAATCTAATCGACTACCTGTTAGGGCAGGAGTTCCTCAGGGTAGCATTCTTGGGCCTATATTGTATAACATTTTCACTTCGGACCTCCCTGATTTGCCTCAGGGTTGCCACAAATCTTTGTTCGCTGATGACACAGGCATTTCCGCTAAAGGAAGAAGTCTTCGTGTTATTTGCAGCAGACTTCAGAAAAGTTTAGATATTTTCTCTTCTTATTTACAAAAATGGAAGATTTCTCCCAACGCTTCCAAAACTCAACTTATAATATTTCCACATAAGCCTAGAGCTTCGTTTTTGAAACCTAGTAGTAGTCACATAGTCACTATGAACGGAGTTCCAATTTCCTGGTCAAACCAAGTGAAATATCTTGGATTAATACTTGACCAAAAATTAACTTTTAAAGATCACATTGAGGGCATTCAAGCCAAATGTAACAAATATATAAAATGTTTGTATCCTCTTATAAACAGGAAATCCAAACTTTGCCTGACGAATAAACTTCTAATATTTAAACAAGTTTTTAGACCGGCCATGCTTTACGCTGTGCCAATATGGTCTAGTTGCTGCACTACCAGGAAAAAAGCACTTCAAAGGATTCAGAACAAAATTCTGAAAATGATTTTGAAGTTGCCTCCCTGGTACAGTACTACCGAAGTACATAGAATTTCGAATGTTGAGACTTTAGCACAAATGTCCAACAAAATAATTAATAATTTCAGGCAAAAATCGTTGCAATCCTCAATTGCAACGATTAATTCCCTTTATACTTAGATAAGATTTAGTTTTAGTTTTTAGTTTTAAGATATCAATTGTTATACTGACATGCAGGTTAAAAAACCTGTTTAAAATACTGAATTGCCAAGACATGAACAATGTAAAAACACTTAGATATATATCATAACAATTAAGGCTGGTACGTTACTGCAGTAACTGGAGCACCTAGGTTAAAATGAAATGTAATTTATTTTGAATTTGGAACAAATAAAGAGTTAAAAAAAAAAAAAAAAAAAAAAAAATTGGTTGACATTTCAGGTTGACTTCAAAATAGCGTGTAGGCTATGATCGCCACAGAAAGCACTCAGTTTCAGCATGAACTCAACTCCGAGCGCAAAAAATCCTGAATGTGGCAGTTACAATTCGATGGCTTACCGATAAGTCGACCAGAAAAACATCAACACTTTACCTTTCATCTTCAATTGCACGCACAATCAAGCGAAACAGCAAGCAACAAAATCAGCTCAAGCACCCAAAATTAGACCGTATAACCGGCGATCGGGGCCGATGGTTGCAGGCATTACGTCAGTTTTTACGTCTGCTCATAAATGCCCAAGATTCGCTTTCATCGACACTAATCCAGTTTCGATTGACGGAGATTGGAGGAAAATTAACAGTAGCTTAACCCAGCCAGAGCGTAATAGACTAATTATCCTATTACCTCCTATTTCGCGTTTCAGTTTTCTCAGCGGGTTGGAGACTGCGTTCGGTCAGTGACGAACCCGAAATCGTTCTTCGTCTTCGGCAAACTAAGTTAATCCCATCCAAATAGCACCCCATTACGCTTACTCAACCGTCTCCTTCGTCTTATGGTAACGGAAAATTAATTGCTAGATGCGAACTGAGCAAATGCCAATCAAAAGTATACGGCTCGAATTTCCTTCCATCCGCTGAAGAACTACTAATCGATTTTTGATTGCATTTGAAATGGGTTGGTCCACAGTATGCAAGTGGTCCTACATAATAGTATCACCGCAAATCATGTCCAGCCGCTTTCGTCGGTGTTTGAGCACGAACGGAATCCATGTCTTTTCACTGTCAGGCCAATGTGATTCTGGTTCAAAGAGCATAATTGAAAGGGCAAATACTGGGACGACCATGGGGCTTCGTTTCAATGTAGAGCGACAGAAATCATCAGGGCAAATATTTGTTCTATCGATGAGCTTTCCCTTTAGGGGCACCTCTAATACCCATCGACGAAGCTGTGGACTCGCTTTTGGCTTTGATTGAAACGAATGGGTCCGGTTAACAAGGTGATGAAATGCTTCTCTTTCTCGATCCTGATGGACCGATTGGACGATGTTTAGAGATGAGGGTGGCACTATCAGTATGCTTTTTGAAGATGGTGGTGTTTGCCAATTCAAAGCACCAATTTGGATTGTTATCATATATATGACTGCAATATCAAAGATATTGCTTTTCAGCGATGTTTTTAAATCAATGGACATCACATTTCAAACGACTCACGTAAATATATGCTTGGTCCATTAAATGTGTAGAATTGGTCAAACATTCGGATAGAATCGAAATTGCAATCGACATGCCGGTGAAAAAGCAATTATCGATGCCAACCAATCAACTTATCATTTCGTGTTTGTTGTTGACTTGTTTGCCACTGAATTATTCTGCACCATATATCACTGAACGAGATAGGTATCGTTCATCAAATTACAGTCAATGGCTTTTGATGCCATTTCGAAACAGTTCACGTAATTAATTTGTTTTCCCTCGAAAAAGCTCGCTAACCCCCCTCGTTTTCCATTTTTCATTTCTCATTGCAGGTACATAATTGTGACAACCGCAGAAACAACAAGTGAAATCGCAAACATTGCCTAACAACGACGGCCGACAACCCCACGTTTATGAGTAAGTGTCAGAAGATTAATTTAATATCACGACGAGGACGCTCGCCGTTCGCACGAAAAGGCTGAACTCACCCACCGCATCTCTGCCATATCTTTTCATTTCCATAAACAAAGATTTATGCATCCATTGTTGTTTGTTTTCGGTACCTTTCGTGCATCAGGGGTAGGTACTTGCGGTGACACATTACATTGCACGCGGGCGAGAAGCAATGTCGTGGTGGTGGTTATTACATTTAACTGCCCAGATCAGTCCGCCGCAAGAGGAGAAAATATGCCATTTCTTTTCCAACTGGGCAAGGTGCCTGCCCGGCAGCCAGCGGTATGATGCGAACAATGGGCCAATAAACATGCTATCACGTGTGTGGCAGCGAACAAATTACATAGCTGCACTATCATTTCGGGGATCTCAAGAGCAGCATCCACTGGGCTTTTGATGTTGTGCGATTGTTGCATATGGGGGTGTTGCGATTTGTAGATGATGTGATTATCATTGGCAGCTTTGTTTTATAAAACGACAATGTTCAGTTTTATGGCTACCTAAGTAAAATTTTTGGTTTTATCGTGGTTTTAAAAAGGTTTATAGGGGGAGGTAGCTCATCGATTCTTCCGGTTCGCCTCCTAGCATCGTGCTATAAGGTACCAGGCGATAACCAGGGTAGTTGATCGATAGCTCGATGACATCATTTCGTTGGCGTCTGCAATGGGAAATTCTCATAGCAGGCGTTGACGATGGGACGTTGCGAGTTGTTGAATAGCAACTATCGTGGTAACTCACCGATTACCTGTCGATCTGGCAAATTTGGAAAGACGTCTGCATTGAATTGTCTCATATAATAATATTCCGCCCACTATATCACAAGAAATTGCGAGTAGCTGAGTGGAATGGAGATAAGTTAAGCATTGGGTACAGGACCAAGTCTCCCCTGGGTGGTGCCAAAAGATGAGCGCAATAGAATCATCAAGTTGCCATTAGGCACGGAATGAGACTATTGCATGGCTGGGTAGTCAAAGTCTTCCATTCGTTAGTCATTTCAGGTGGATTAGAACAGGTTTGGATTTTTCAGATATAAGATACATTCATACCATTGGCATTTGGTATTTGAGATAAAGACAGAGACAGGATGCGGAGGGCCCGCTTAGGGGGAGCGTAACCCATGTTATGGCTTCCATTTATTAAATAGTTCAGATAGGCTGGAAATGATAGGTTCATGGTGAGAAAATGTACCATATGGTGCCCGTTCACTGATCATTGCAACGTTGATGATTTCCTATAGTGACACATATCACCTTCTTAATGCTTCAGTATGCCTCAAACGATTAATTCTTAGTTGTTAATAGAACTTCCTTGATGAAATCGGCTGCTTCATGCAGACTGAGCAATTCTGATTATAGTGTCAGATTTGTTCTGTATACAGAGGAACTGGGAGGGCTTATTAGAAACTTATCACCAATAAAATAATGATCTTCTAGTAAATTTTGCATTTAATTTTATTAATATTTTATTTTATTTAAGCATATTATTTTTGTTACAGTCAATTTGCATTAGCATATGATACAAGAGATTTAATATTACTTGCTCGTTTTCGCGTAAAATAATCAATATTTATCTTACTTGTAATTACCTTTGAAAGTTTTTTTTTTAAGTTTTTTTTTTTGTGATCTGAAAATTTACCCAGTTTGGTTAGAAGTTTCGAAGCTAACGCATGTCCACAGGCCTAATAGAAAGATAGGCAGAACAAGTGTATCATTAAGAATGGTTGCATGCAGGGTTGCTTCCACTCACTTGCTATAGATGAGTGATTTTCGGAGTTTTGAATTCGTTAGATGTTGTAATGGAGATTTGTGCTGTTGGATGCGGGTGGAGATTGGAGGGCGGGTGTTTGATGCATAGAGCCTGTCAATTTCGCTTTCAGAGTGTCGCAGTCAGCGGTTTTATGATTCGTGAGCGCTCGCGATTCGTAGAATCGTTGATTGTGACTGCAAGTGGATTTGACGGGTTTTGTGTTTCGGACGCTTGTTTTTGGCCTTTTCTTGTGTCTAACATGTGCAGAGTATCATTATAACGTCTACTGGTTTTGAGATTCCTGGTAGCGTGAAATATATTTGTGAGAATATCTTTTTGAGATTTTAACAGTCACGTTTTGTTTGTAGTTTATATTTTATTTATTCATGTAATTATCGTAAATAATAGTTATTCAATAGTAGATAGTTCATCCATATATTCGTACTTTGACGCGAAGCGCTGTGGATTATGAGATGCTCGATGACCCTGGAGGGATCGATTTTGCTTACTGAGCAGAAAATCATAGATTTAACCCCAAGCTCTTCAACAGCACAATAAATCGCCACCATCATGTGTATATTTGATATTAAACATTAACCTTGGAAACTATTTGCATATCAAGCGAAAACGTAGTCCTGTATTGTCGCGAAGCGTTATGGTTCTGAGATGCTCGATGACCCTGGAGGGATCGTTTTTGCTTACTGAGCAGAAAATTATGGGTTTAATCCCAAGCTCTCCGTCATGACTCTTAAAATTCATTATCACTAAACAAAATTAATATGTTCTTTCGATAGCCGGCTATCGAGAGATTAAATAAACAACAAATAAACAATACATACTTTTGGTTGCATCGCCAACTTGAGGTGAATCCTAACCGAATACCCTACCCAACCCTCCAACTCCGTAGCACTTATGAGGGTGTCGCTAAGTCGGTGGCCTCTCGTTAAGTAAGTACTACATCAACATTTCCTTCCTTATCCCTAGTTATGGTAAAGATGGGCGTGGCCGGGAATAGCGGCAGTCATGCTTCTGTTACTCTTGTTTAGATTGGAACCAATGTTTACTCCTCAGCATTATTCCTGAAAGTAGTCTAACTGAGAATTTCAGAAGAGACGTGAGTGTCGCTAGTATCCAATCTACGAAGTATATCATAACAACGCTAACGCTAACGTGGTTTTAAAAAGGTTTATAAAGTTGATATCACACTTTTTGGCCACACGACAAATATTTGACTGGTTATGCTTTGCCAAATAATGCTATTTGTCATATTTGTTTGCCTAAGCAATTCCACTTGTCATATATTTAACAAATAGTTTACCAACAAATATTTGATCAAATACTACAAAACGGGTATTTGGCCAGCTATTTGTCAAGCTATTTGTTGACGTATTACCTTATTTGCATTTGACTAAGTTTTGGTTGATGGTATTTGGTTAAATTTAGTTGACGTCAAGAAAACGAATTTCGCTAATCTCGGGCCAAATCCCAGATTGAAGATCATATGATCCATATCAGGTTCTGGGTCCACTGGAATCGGTTCTAGAACAATATTTCTGGAGTAAAACTTTCATGTGACAAGTAAATAATGCTCATCTCAGGTTTCTTTGTTTGCAGATCTCGTATCAGCTCCTTCAGAAATCTGAACCATATTTACAGAAGTAATGGATTTATATGATGTGACGCCGCAAACACATCATTTTTTTACAAAACTTTGTTCATGACTCGGAAAATACTATTCGTTTAAAGTTAAATTAGAACGGTTAATAGGGAATATACTAAGTACAGCACCATACTCAGCAGGTGGCGAAGATGGCATTTGCACCAAAATAAATACTTAGGAGCGGAAAAATTGCTCAAATATTCTTTGAACATTTATAAAGTTTCCTTTTAGGAAAGACTTTGAACTTAAACAAAGTTCCTAAATCAAACAATTAAATTTTTAGAATAATTTCTCCATATAAAAATTGAAAATAACAATTTAAAAACCTACCCGAACTGCGATCGATCATATTTCATTTCAAATATAATTGAAGTTGGCCCATCGGCATTTCTGAAAACCTGAAAAAATATTTTCGGATCTCAGAAATATCAAGGTTCTGTGTCGACGAGGTTCAAATCTCCATATAAATGAATAAAACTACAATTTTAGAAAAATGTTGGGATGAGATCATGGATACCGATTCCATCCACCTCATTGGCATTATTCATTGCAGAAATAGCCAAAGGATCCATGCTGCATGGTTCAATTTTGGAGAAGGTCACTTGGCCATATAAATAATCTCATAGATTAAATTAGATTAGTATCTCATATCATAGAAACAGGTCGATTGGCATCTGAAAAAAAAAATATTTTTTTCCCGGATCTCAGGAATAGGAACCTTTCTACATGGTTCTGTGCTGAGGAAAGTCAGTTCTTCATAAAAGTGATGAAAATCACAATTTTAAAATTTCCTTGGCTAGAAATAACACATATCTCACCTCAAATACATTAACGTATGTACACTGGCATTGGTAATTTGGCTGGCCAGGAAACACCATTGGTAATTTTGGAAACTTAATACTTTGGATTTCCGGATCTGAGGAATGGTCATAGTAACCATGCAATATGATTTTTAACTGGAAAGTTCATTTGTCTATGTAAATAATGCAAACTACAATTCCAATACTTTCTAGGGCTGCCACCATTGATATTTCATCCCGAAAATAAATAAAATTACTTGGTAATGAAACGTTATCATCAGAAGTTTTTTTTTATTTTTGAGCGAAGTCGGCCTCTGAGAGGGCCAATTTGAAATGAGGGTCCGTAGTAGTCGAGTACCTATCATGCGCATGTTGCTATCAAGTGGTCGGAAGAGAGGAGGAGCTTAACCAGAGGATCATGCAGCTCAAACTAGAGAAGGTTATTAAGGAACTATCCGCGTTAATTATAGGAAGCCTCGGGTCCTTATGGAATTCCTTGAGAAGCCTTACGGATATCCCAGTAAAGTCGAAGAAACTATCCGAGAAGTCCTATTAAAGCCTCCAAGCTCGTTTTGTTTGCATCAAATAAATCCTTTTTACTTTATTTGTTCCCAAATAGATTTCAGGAGAACTTGATCCAGAACTGATTCTGAAGGAACTTGTCCGAGAGATAAAAAGTCCGTATGTATTGATGTGTCATATCACATAAATTGTCGATCAGTACCATCACAACAAGCGACGATTATTTGATGTTTAAG